TTTTCCATGTGCAAGAATCAAGTATAAAATTTTGTGTGTGTATATGTTACTGTGAATGACCGATATCTGGTAAATGTCAACATTCTCCGGTGAATGTCAGCATTCACACAGTCGTTCGTGTACGTACAAAATATTTGCTAAATATCATTATTTCTCACTTACACTGGCAAATGTCGACATTCAGCATGTGCTGATGATGAATGTTGAACAAAAATATTTTTATTACATGAAGACAAAAATGCAACATTTTAATATGTGAAAATATGAGAAAGCTTAGGTAACAGCACATTTAAATAAACTGTTAAACCTAAAATGAACAGTACATACTTAATCATTAAAGAAAATAATACAATAATAAACTTACACATACATTATGTGATTAACGTTATACAATCTTATTTATTGCAACAACTTAAACTGTTGTGACACTTTGAATTGCGCAAGAATCCCTTGCTTTTAAACTGCATTTATTCCTGGAACACTTTACTTTGCAATGAGAGCGTGTATAGCCTTGCCCTCCACTTTTCGAATTAGCTGCAGCTGCTTCTCTCAGCGATATTTCTTGAGAATAAATCTCATCTATGGAAAGTAACTTTTCTTTACAAATTACGAACTGATTACGTAATTATGTGATTATGAACTGATCTCTTAATGGTGTCTTTTATTCGGTTATCGCTGACGCCTTACCGATGACCCTCTCATTGTCCACCACTGGACCTGAAAAACCGATCCCCACCTCACGGGATCAAAAGACCTTGTCCTACCTCCAGCCACCCACAAGGGATTTGGCAACAGACTGTCGCCTCTCTGTCGACATCGGCTTGTCGGGTGTCGCTTTGACCTCCACCAAAGCTTATCTGTGCTTGTTGACATACACCGGCGATTGTTCAAATGTATAATAATATAACCAAATATTTGGACTTTCACCAATGTATTTTGTATGTGTCGACATTCTCTAATTTCGGTCTTTCACAGTAACATATATGTAAAAATATAATTGAAAATTATTGGCAGTTGTGATTTAATTTTTTAAATTATTGAATAGTGAAACCCATTTAAATTTAACAGTTGTTCCAATTTGTACAAATTAGCATTAAATGTTTATATTTTGACTTAATTAAGTCTGTAAGTTTAATAGGGCACCATAGCGTTTCAATATGTACAAATTAACGCTAATGTTAAAATTCATATCAACCTTCTAAAATTTGTTTTCCTTTGGCCTAAAGAAGACATGTTGAAAGTGCTTATGAAATATTTTGTATTTATTTTGTTTTACTGGTCAAAACCTTATTAACACCAATAGATGGTGCTCTTAATTTTTTATGCCAGATTCTTACAACATAAAAATTTCTTTCTTTCATGTTAATATTAATTTTAGTTAAATGAGAGCTTTAACATGTAATACAATACTTTCAATTGTGATTGTTAGTTAATTATTAATTAGATATGTTTATTAAAGCAATCAATATTTTATATTTTTCATTGCTNGAAGCATAAGCTTCAACACTGATGGCAGTTACGTCCTGAGTACCCTAGAAGGGAAAGGGAAGAGTACCAGAATTGGTATCAAAGCTAGACACCTTGCTAGAAATCTAAGCAAGCATAAAAATATCTCCTTCAACTGGGTCCCTGGACACCTCTTCCTCTTTTGCAGAAATCCCTATTTCCTTCATAATCATCTACGTTAACAGCAAAACCCTGGACTGCTGGCAAGAGGAGTGGGAAACTTCCAACACTGGAAGGATTACCTTCAGCTTTCTGCCATCTATTCACCTCAGGCAGCACTATAATCACATTAATTCCAGCTATGAGCTCTCTCAGTGCTTCACTGGCCACGGCAACCTTCCAAGTTACCTCTGCAGGTTCCACATCAGGAGTTCCAACACCTGTGAATGTGGCATCACCATCAACGATGTCTAACATGTCATCTTGGACTGCCCTTCATAAGATGTGCCTAGGGAATTGCTCATCCATTACTGTCTTCAAAATGGCCCCCAAATATGGACTTCTTTTGCAAAAGCAAATCGAACCTTGAGGCTCTTATTGCCTTCATCAGGAACAGTAAGGTCTTCACAACGAACCCTACTGGCTTGTCCCCCACTACCACTTAATGTAGTGCTTGCCTGGACATACAGGCATCTTATTGTGCTTTGATCTTCCTGCTAACTGCTCACTGTATTATACTTTTTTGCATTTTTACTTGTATTCTCTTAACTGTACTTTATCATTGTTTTTTATACTTGTATTGTATTGTATTATGATGATTGTAATTTGATATGGGTATTTTTATTTGGCATTTATATTGTAACTTTTATATTTCATTATTCTTATCTTGTAATGTGTTTTGTCAGCTGTTGCCCAAAGACTCACTGTTATTGTAACAACTATGTTGCATATTACTTGTATTGTCGGTCCTCGTGGAAGGTGTACTATTTAGTAGCCATCCTCAACAAAAAGGCACTCTGTTACTATTATACATATTGTAAATACTTGGTTGTTTTTAAAATATGCAATGCAGGCAATCAGAAGAATCCCACTTTCTCCCACCCCTTTTTCTCTACTGGACTATGTCTGGTATTAGACAGCCTACCTTCATTGTTTCAAGTCACTTAGGTCATAAATGACATTATAAATGTAACAATTCCAAATACATTTCCCACTCTTTGAAGTGGATAGCAAATTGCCTTTGTAATTTGACATTTGAATGAGATTCATTTAAAATGAGATTTTTACAACTGAAAAACTAAATAATATATTGTATATGTATTTTAATTAAATATTCTACATATAATTTTCGGTATATTCACATTCCTAATTCAAATTTGCTGTTTTCATAATTATCATATTCTTCACTATATGATGACCAGGTTAAGATAGTCACAAGCATGTACTGTACTTCCAAAGAGTGGGCAAACTTTTTGGTCCTGACAGTGTCCACTATTTGGAGATTATCTGTATTTATAAATTTTCTCATTACTTAATAATATCAGAAAATTTCATATTTTTTATATTAATGCTTGCTTGTATCTTCAGGATCAGGACTGCTCATGAGTTGTTTGCAGCCCAGATACAAAAACAATATTACGTCCTGTATTAATTTAATTTTATGTATAATAAATGGTCTGTGGCCACCCAGATGCAGGGTACCTTTTTCACCCCTGCCAGGAATGGCCATAATTAAAGTTTCCCTATTCAGAGCACACTGTTGCTGTAATTGATAAGCAGATTGCCACCAAAATTTGTATACAGACTATGCAAAGGATGTGGAAAAGGATTTTTCAGAACAAATTTTAGTTCAAAACTTCTGCTAGAAGGCACTTTGGCATATAAGGTTTGGAATATAATTTATCACGGAATTGTTGCAACTTTGGCAGACTTAAAGGATCGCATTACACTGTGCATGCATGAAGTATTACTGGAGAGCAGTTGCATTCAGCTGTAGATCACTGTTCATTGCTTTAAAATTTTTATACCCAAGCAATGAGGCATATGTTGAGCAACAATCCTTACATCAGTAAATGGCTTTTGTAGAAATCATGTCCCTTGCAGAATGAATATGTGGTACAATCCCAAAGTTCGGGGACTGCAGTAATGTATGACAACAAAAGCGTGTATTTGAAGTTACAGCATATGAAATTGATTCTATCAAACCTTTCCTACGTGTTCAGGTTGGTTTCGCCCATGTCACGTGATTAAACCGCGAGTGCTGCTGTTTACTTTCAGAGATACCTTTGTTTTGTGACGTAATAAAAATGGAGTTTCAAGAACAGCACTGCAACATTAAATTTTGTCAGCATTTAGGTAAAACACCTATGGAGACTTTAAAATTGCTAAGAAAGGTGTATGGTGATTTTACCAAGGGCAAAATCAAAGGTGTACAAATGGCATTGGCGTTTTAAAGAGGGCCAAGAATCCATCACAGACGATGAACGCTCTGGCCGACCTTTGACTTCACAGAATGAGGAAAATGTTGAGTTGGTCTCTCAATGTGTTCGCAAAGATCATCGCCAAACCCTTGAAAAATTCACTGCGGCTACTCACTTATCAAAGACTAGTTGCCAGTATATTTTAACAAAAGATCTTGACATGCACCAAGCATGATGAAGGTGTTTTTTGATTTTCAAGGAATTGTTCATTCAGAATTTATTCCCAAAGGCAGAACAGTAAACAAGGAGCATTATCTAGACATTTTATGTCATTTGAGGGAATCCATTCATCGTAAATGGCCACAGATCTGGCAAAGTGGAGACTGGTACCTTCTGCATGGTAACGCACTTGCACATTGGTCCCAAATGGTCACACAGTTTCTTGCCAAAACTCAAATTTATATGCTTCCACACCCTGCCTATTCACAAGACAGCCCCATATGATTTTTATTTGTTTCCATCAATGAAAAAGCATTTGCAGGGATGCCGTTTTGTGTTATCAGATGAGGTGAGAGCAGCATCGCAGGAGGCCTTACAGGAGGTTTCAAAAAATGGCTTCCAGTAGTGCTTCCAGAAGTTATACGAGTGTTGGCAAAAGTGTATTGTTGCCCAAGGTGATTACTTTAAAGGTGGTTATGCATCAGCAATATAAACTTTTTAAGGTAAGGAATTTTAAGCCAAGTCCCTGAACTTTTGGATCATACTACGTATATATGTTTTCGTTGTGTTTTTGTTTTGTTTTGTGTAATTTCCAGTAAAGTGTCTCTAGTGAAAGTTTTTGAACTTTTTTTTTTGTTTTTTGCAAAGAATGCAGAAAAGCAAATAACACAAGATTGTCACCAAAATCAATCTGCTTGGTATCAGTCTGCTTATTTGTTAAATCTACAGAGTGATCTGAATAGGGAAACTAATTATGGCCACATTGCATGAAAGAAAATTTTATATATTAAAGCAATATTTTTATGTAAAGCAAATTTCAGATTAACATGATTTATGTTGAAATCATGAAAGTTGAGTGATAAGTTTGACCTGTTAAATTATTAATTAAATTTATTTTAAAAATCTTCATTGTAGACCTCTTCATATGGCTGCCAGAAATGGATTAGTATCAGCAACTCAGTTACTTTTATTGAAAGGAGCAAGTATTAATGCAAAAGATGTTATTGGTAAGTTTTAAAATATTAGCATTAAGAAATTTTTTATTAAGATAATGTCTTTGGTTATTGCTTAACTTTTGTAGTCATTCCTTATTTAATGACCTTGTTCTGTTCTTATGACTAGATTGTTAAGTGAATTGGTTGTTAAATAAGCAGTTTAATAGTTTTTAGACCTTTTCTTCACCTAGAATAAATAAAGAAAACTTCAAGTTGATAACTCTGTTTTAATTTTCATCTCTTACATATTACAAAACATTAAAATACAATTAACAAAAATTATAAAAATAATGTGCTAAAAAATTTAAAGTTTATTCAGAAAGAAAGACACTTATATTAATCTTTTAATTATTGAATCCTTCAAATGGGATGCACAATAAACAAAGGTACAGATTTATAAACAAAAATATGTAGTCTTGTTTAGTAGTCACTACACAAAGCATTTGTTTTGTGTAGTGACTAATGACTGACTGTGGGAACTAACTAAGATTAAGAAAGGGGATTTCCTGTACTAGAGAGCTGGTCATTAAGTGAGGAGTGGCTATATTAAACTGTTGGATTTTATTGATCTGTTTTTATGCAATTATATGTTTAGCTTCAGCAATAAATTAATTTAATTGTTATCATCTATTAATGAAGATCAGGAAGTTTAAATGCTTTATTAATAATGTAGAAATGCCTGAAAAAATGATCTGCTTAGAATGAAATCAAACTTTCACTTCCTTAAATCAGTTAAACTGAATTTTTGAGATCTACATCTACAGCAGAGACTGAACTATAATATAAATCATATAGTTTGTTTTTATTAGTTATGTTTTTAGATACATTATGTATATATTAGTTATGTTTTTAGATACAGTAGAGCGTCAATTATCCGAATCAATTGGGGACTGGGGTTGTTCGGAATATCGATGTTTCGGATAACCAATTATGTACGAAAAAATATATTAATTTATCCCATCTTGACATTTTTCTCCGTTGCGTGTCGCTTTGTGTTGAATTTTCGTTGATGTTAAGCCTAACGAAGACTATTGTATCGTTAAAAATTATTTTTTTATTTTGTACAAACAAAATAAATATATTGAAAAATATAAAAACAATAAAAAATTATACTTCAGAAGTTAATTTAGTATCAAAAATGTAAAATATTTGAGTATCCCAAGACATAGCCAAAGATTGCAGCGCCACAGCACTGGCAAAAATTTAAATTTGCCGACTGGAATTCTTTCGGATGATTGACTTTTGGATAATCGACGCTTTACTGTATTACTATATTACATGTAATTTAAATTAAATTATTAAAGATAAAGTGAATGTTTCTTCCTCTAGTGAGAAATTTATTTAATTAAGTTAAAAAATATCTTGGTAAAATCCAGCAGTTTCATTATTATTTGAAACATAACCAGAGTTTGTAATTTTATATTTTTGTTGTGAATTGATTATGAGAAAGTTATAATTGGCTTTTCATGATTTATAAACAGAGAAGAGAGTTTTTAAGTTTAATAAATCCTCTGTTATATCTGTAGTCTCATTATAATAACAAAATAATTTTGAAAAGAATTAACCATTCTTAACAATGATCTGTATGATGATGTCTAATAATATATATTTCTGAAATTTAAAAGAAAACTGATTTTCAAAATAATCAACTTTTTCATTTATACTATTTTTTATTAGAAATAATATCAATAATTTATAATGAAAGGTCTTTTAATGAAGCATATATAAAACTTTAATGTAAAAAGCTTTCATGATCATAATCTTTACCTTTTGATAACAATATGCTGCAAACTTTACTTATACATCTTATCTATAAATTTATTATATTAATGGAATCATTAATATTCCTTTGTCTTTCTCATCTTTTGTTAATTTCTCCAATAAATGCATTCTTATAATTTTCATTAATTTTACACTTACAAGGGGGACCTTATGGTCTCGGAAATTCAGTTCAGGATGAGACTTTGCAGGTTAGTAGTATATCTCAAGGGTGTCCACACAGAAGAATTATAAAGCACGCTAGCCAGAAGATTCTGAGAAAAAGGGCTCTAAAGTTTTAAGCGTAGCTCATATACTGATCGATTTCATATTATGGCAGTACAGCAAAATGCTCAGTCTTTAGTGAACTCGCTTGCCACGTGGGCAATCTAGGTTCGATCCTACTTTCGACTAAATAATTTTTTTTTTTTAATTATTTAAAAGTTGTTACAATTTTTAGAATAATTTAAAAAAAAAAAATTATTTAAAAGTTGTTACAATTTTTAGAATAATTTAAAAAAAAAAAATTATTTAGTCGAAGGTAGGATCAAACCTAGATCGCCCACGTGGCAAGCGAGTTTGCTAAAGACTGAGCATTTTGCTGTACTGCCATAATATGAAATCGATCAGTATATGAGCTACGCTTAAAACTTTAGAGCCCTTTTTCTCAGAATCTTCTGGCTAGCGTGCTTTATAATTCTTCTGTGTGGACACCCTTGAGGTATACTACTAACTGCAAAGTCTCATCCCGAACTGAATTTCCGAAACCGTAAAGTCCCCTTGTTAGTTTCAGAATTCTTTTTTTAGTGAAATGAATTAATAATAATTTTTTATTTAATGATTTTGTAAACAGAATTATTAAATAAAAAAATATTCAATTGGATTGATGCATGAAATTATCGTCTATCTTGCTGTTAAACTGTCTTGGATAATTTACTGTTATCCTTCATTCTTTCTTACAGGTCAGACACCTATTTTGGCATGTGCTAGAAATCGTAAAGTTGCCGATTGTCTTTCTCTAATGTTAGCTGTGATGCCTCTGAATTCTACATTTTCATCTGTGCAAGCTCTGAAAACCAATAATATTAATTCTAAGAAAAGTCTGTAATATTTTTAGTTAGGATTAAATATATCATTATTTTATTTTGTAAATTTATTTATAATTTATAAATTAAGCTTATTTCAGATTAAATTTTAGGTAAAAATGATTAATTATGAATAAATTGAAACACATACTGCTTGATTCCTTGTTTTAAAAATTAAGACTTTACTTTCTGTAGATTTTGAAATAATGGTGAAAATTTTAATCATTTATATTTGTACTGATTTGCAGTACAATTATCAGAAGTATTCTTTTCATTTATAAAATTATTACTTAAGATATCATTAGAATTTTTGAAAGCTTTTACAGAACTTTTTTTAATGCTTCATTGACTGTAAATAAACATGAGAAAAATTATAACAACATTTTCAATTTCAGTAGACTAAATAAGACATGTACAGGGTCTTTCAAAATGAATGTTGCCACTAAATTATTGTAATTATGTTAATTACTATCTGAGAAGTATGTGATATAAGCCAATTGATAGAGTAACTGTCAAACTGTCATCTACTGTCTCTAGGAAGTGTCATAAACAAACATGACAACTTTGCAACAGAGAAGGCATTTTGTGTTCTTCAGTTTGCAAAGTCAGAATCACTCGTCATTGTGCAACATTAGTAATTTGCAGGAGCTGTAGAATTATGGCTGCTACGTGAGGAGGGACAACATATACACTGTAATGAGTGTAGAAAGAATTTGAGTATCGGTTGGATATGCACTGTGTGACAAGAGGTGCACACATTGAGAAATTGTAATGTACAAATGTGAAATTTGAACAATTTTCCAACATTCCAATATAAATACAATATTCTCAGACAATAATCATAATTACAATAATTTAAAATGGTAGCATTCATTTTAGAAGACCCTGTGTTTTAAATATATACATTTAATATTCAGAAATGTGTATGTTGAAATGAAACAAGAAAAAGTTACTATTTTCCAAATGATGTTAAGATAAATATTACTTCTGAAATTTTGTAATTATGCAAGTTAATTTTATACAATAATAAATGTGTGCAATTCAAAACAATACTTAAAGTAATTAAATTAAAGTATTAATTATTTTTTACACATTTGTAATTTTATGATATCCCAAACAAATCATAAAATTGTATATTCTAAATTAATTTGAAATTACTAAATGTTGGTTACTACATTACTACATGTGTTGGGTTATCAGTTTCAAAATGGTTTGTTTGTTTTGATATTCTGCTGCATGGTGAGACATTTGCATGGGAATGCAAAGTGGAAGTCATACTGCAACAGAAGGCCTAATGTGTAATATGGTATGCAAAATGGGAGAGTATTACTTACGTCCTGAGAGAGTTCTTGTAAGTTTGTAAGTGTCACCATGCTCCGTCACATTGGAACATTGTGAAATAGTACTAGAATTCATGCAGATGGGTCTGACTTTGTATTATGTCTGAGGAAGAGTGTTTAATGGGCAGAGATGAGAACATTTGGCAGGCCACGTTTAAAGTCTGAAAAAGTTGCTATACCACTCATCAGTGAAACATGACATTCCATACAGCATGTTTCAAAGGATTGAGTGTCATTACTTGAAAATGTTTCCATACCATGTGAACAACTGAAAGCATTGCAGCAATGTTATTATGCATCCACCCAGCATGAACTGTTCACCATCTGTTGTGTTGGCCATATTGTGTCATTTGGTAGATAGATTAAATTTCTAGTATCTGGAAATTCCTATTTGTTATAGTGATTAGTTATGGATCTTGTAGAAGTTTATTAATTTACTTTAATGCATCTATTAATATTTTTCCATGTGCAAGAATCAAGTATAAAATTTTGTGTGTGTATATGTTACTGTGAATGACCGATATCTGGTAAATGTCAACATTCTCCGGTGAATGTCAGCATTCACACAGTCGTTCGTGTACGTACAAAATATTTGCTAAATATCATTATTTCTCACTTACACTGGCAAATGTCGACATTCAGCATGTGCTGATGATGAATGTTGAACAAAAATATTTTTATTACATGAAGACAAAAATGCAACATTTTAATATGTGAAAATATGAGAAAGCTTAGGTAACAGCACATTTAAATAAACTGTTAAACCTAAAATGAACAGTACATACTTAATCATTAAAGAAAATAATAATAAACTTACACATACATTATGTGATTAACGTTATACAATCTTATTTATTGCAACAACTTAAACTGTTGTGACACTTTGAATTGCACAAGAATCCCTTGCTTTTAAACTGCATTTATTCCTGGAACACTTTACTTTGCAATGAGAGCGTGTATAGCCTTGCCCTCCACTTTTCGAATTAGCTGCAGCTGCTTCTCTCAGCGATATTTCTTGAGAATAAATCTCATCTATGGAAAGTAACTTTTCTTTACAAATTACGAACTGATTACGTAATTATGTGATTATGAACTGATCTCTTAATGGTGTCTTTTATTCGGTTATCGCTGACGCCTTACCGATGACCCTCTCATTGTCCACCACTGGACCTGAAAAACCGATCCCCACCTCATGGGATCAAAAGACCTTGTCCTACCTCCAGCCACCCACAAGGGATTTGGCAACAGACTGTCGCCTCTCTGTCGACATCGGCTTGTCGGGTGTCGCTTTGACCTCCACCAAAGCTTATCTGTGCTTGTTGACATACACCGGCGATTGTTCAAATGTATAATAATATAACCAAATATTTGGACTTTCACCAATGTATTTTGTATGTGTCGACATTCTCTAATTTCGGTCTTTCACAGTAACATATATGTAAAAATATAATTGAAAATTATTGGCAGTTGTGATTTAATTTTTTAAATTATTGAATAGTGAAACCCATTTAAATTTAACAGTTGTTCCAATTTGTACAAATTAGCATTAAATGTTTATATTTTGACTTAATTAAGTCTGTAAGTTTAATAGGGCACCATAGCGTTTCAATATGTACAAATTAACGCTAATGTTAAAATTCATATCAACCTTCTAAAATTTGTTTTCCTTTGGCCTAAAGAAGACATGTTGAAAGTGCTTATGAAATATTTTGTATTTATTTTGTTTTACTGGTCAAAACCTTATTAACACCAATAGATGGTGCTCTTAATTTTTTATGCCAGATTCTTACAACATAAAAATTTCTTTCTTTCATGTTAATATTAATTTTAGTTAAATGAGAGCTTTAACATGTAATACAATACTTTCAATTGTGATTGTTAGTTAATTATTAATTAGATATGTTTATTGAAGCAATCAATATTTTATATTTTTCATTGCTAACTTCTGAAATATAGTCCTTTGTTTCGTATAGCCAGATTTGCATAACACAAACTTTTTTGGTACATAAAAATATAGGTATCTGTCATATAACTCTGTAGTTATCAGAATATATATACATTATATAAGTGCTATCTTGATAAATATAAATATCCATAAAAGAACATGATATGAATTTTTGGCAGCACAAATATCAATTAATGAATTAAGATAATGTAAATTGATGTTTAGAATAAATAGTAAACAGTTGGCAAGACCAAGATGAAAGAAAATAATTAATGAGATGTGTAGATAAAGATGAATATATAAGCATTAGAAATATTTTGGGCATTAAAGAATGGATCTAGATATTGTTAGATTGTCTGGAAAGTTGCATAATATGAAGATTTGTAATAATTTTTCAAAAACTTGATTTTGCCTTATCTTGTGAATTTCTGCTCAAAATTGCACTCATACACCTGAAAAAGGTAAAATTAGCTAAATGCAATTTTCAAATACAAAAAAATACAATTCATATTAAATACAAATACTATGCTTTTGTAATTAACGTGGAAAATTTTCTAGAAAAAACTCTTACTTAAAAAAAAAGAAAAAAAAATAGCAGCAATTGAATTCTTAAACTCAAATATTTTAGCACATTTTTGAGGAACTTTGGAAGCAAATAATTTAGACTTTGATTACTCTCACTCACAGAAAATCGATTGACTGCAAAGCATATTTTATTATAGAGAAGCTGGATTATTACACTTACTGTTGTTTCATTATTTCCATAAAGCCATCATATCAAAATTTAATTGGTTGTTCGGAAAGTAAGTTCGTTTTTTTTCCATGAAAAAAACCACAATATTTTTATAATAAATAAATATTTTATTGAATTATACATTGACCATTTTGGTCAAATACCTGTTGTCATCGTTTCTGGTAGTAGCATGATTTCACATTCATAAAAGTTTTTATCGTTGCTTACAAAAACTGATCCAAGTGATTTTTGATATTGTCATTTCAAGTAAATGTCTTACAGTTAAAAAAAAATTGTATAGACCAGAACAAGTAATAATCTGAGTGTGCTCCATCTGGCGAATATGGTTGGTGTGATAGTATGTTCCATCTAACTTATAACAGTTTCTGAGGAGTTACCAAACTTGTGTGAAATTTGACATTATCGTGGTAAAACACTACACCTGTTTTGTTGATTAATTCTGGCCTTTTCTGTTTGATGATATTACTCAATTTGTTTACTCGATGGCAGTACACTTTCAAATCAATTGTTAAATTGTCTGGTAAAAGCTCCAAAAACAAAATTTTCTTAAAATCCCACCAAAGAGAGCATCTCTCTAAGAACATGTGGAACCCATATATTGAGCTTTGAAACAAAACCAATTTGTTTCAAGTAATCATAAGCAGTTCAATTTGACAGATTTAATCTCTTAGTGATTTCATGTGTNTAGAAACATTTTTCCTTGAAATGGGCCTGCAAAGAGTATGTGGAGACTAGACTATGGTCTTTTTGTGGTTTTCCACAGGTGAATATGGGCAATAGGAGGTGAGAAGCGATTATTCTGACAACCTTGACAGGTGTTTACCATTAACTCAATCTCATAGTTGATGTGTGGCCACTACACATATGATTATACCAATGCCTTCATTCTCACAATACCAGGGTGGTCAATATGAAGTTTGTTCAGAATTTTCTTCTGTATCTGATACAGTATTATTACTCCAGTTCCCCATAGCAA